GATCGATCTCGATTGTTACGTTCGGTTGGTCTCATTTTTATTCCATCTTGAACATAAGATTTACCACTCCTGGTTTTCCTTGGACTGAGTATGTCCTCTTTATTCACTTCATCATTTCCATAATTATCGTCGTCACTTGATTCGTCCGAATTATCGTCAGATTCATCATTTTCATTCTCATTATCATCCAAATTCGCCACAAATTCGCGAACATCATTGACTTGATTTTCACATTCTTTGATTTCATCTTGAATTCGATCAATTAAATCGTCATTTTCCTCATATGTTTCGCGTGTTTCCTCAATTTGTTCTTCATCGTTAAGTGATTCGACATCTTCTTTGTCCTTTTGAATGTCTTCTTCAATTTCTTGAATCTTTTCATTTAAATCCTCATCATTCTGATATTTGTCATTTGGATTGGGATCTTGATCGGAATTATCATCATCATTTCTCCGTCTCAATCATTCATAAATACTTGCAACACTCCTGTCTTCTGTCTGTTCTTCAACATTTTCGGTGTGCTCATTGTCATAGTTTTCAATAAATTCTTCCGCTTCTTCAAGTAAAGCATCAATTTCATCTTGATCAATCTTTTCATTACAAAGATTCTCATCGCTTTGTTTGTATTCATTTTCACGTGGAATATATGTATCATCCCACAGTTCATCTGGGTCCACTCCTGCGAGCAAATCACCATCCAATATGATTTGGTTGCATCAGTTTTTTGCAAAAAAGCCGAGTCGAAACCGCCAAAATTCGATCAAAAAAGGAATCCGATGATTTGGACCCTCCAATCGTCAACAACAACAGCGACACCTAGATGGAGGAGGTCGAGAATCCACTGAAGTACGATCGCATCTTCCAGAACATCGATTCGTCTCAGTGGAACCTGCAGACCCTTGCCTATTTATGCACAATTCACCGTGCTCGTGGTCGACGCAACAATAAAAAAGAAGTGGTCTTTGGAAATGAGCTGTTCTTGGCATGGGAGAACAAGCCCGATTTCCACTGGCCTTGGTGTGAAGGGTATTCGGAAAACTTCGTTGATCCTCCGGCGACTGAATCCTGGGAAGCGGCTGCCAAAAAACTTCTACAGATTTGTGATGGGGATTGGAACTTGATAATAATAACGGAGACATTAATCGTTAGGATGCTACTCTATGGGCATTCGATTGCCGGTGAATTATTCGGCTGTAAAGGTCAAGTACTGTGGAGCGGTGAGTCAACAACAAGTTTGAACCATGGGAGGCATCTGTACCTATACAGAAGTTGCTCAAGTCATGTCGTTAAGAATGACTTCTCCCGCGACGAGGCGGGGTGAATTCGGGGCGCTTAGTGTCCCACGAACGTTGGGAGGCGTTCAGGAGGGGGAAGCAGAGAAGATAGTCCGTAGGCTACGGCGTTGAGCCCGCAGAGAGCGACGATAGTCCTTGCGCTCCTGTCGAAGTAGCTTCAGCCATTCTTCCTTGTCCACCAGTGACTTACAGAGGACGCTGTGACGGCATGTCAGCATGCGTCTAATATCCGGAGGTAAATCAGCTGAACCTCGATTTGTTCTTCATGGTTAAGTGATTCGACATCTTCTTTGTCCTTTTGAATGTCTTCTTCAATTTCTTGAATCTTTTCATTTAAATCCTCATCATTCTGATATTTGTCATTTGGATTGGGATCTTGATCGGAATTATCATCATCATTTCTCCGTCTCAATCATTCATAAATACTTGCAACACTCCTGTCTTCTGTCTGTTCTTCAACATTTTCGGTGTGCTCATTGTCATAGTTTTCAATAAATTCTTCCGCTTCTTCAAGTAAAGCATCAATTTCATCTTGATCAATCTTTTCATTACAAAGATTCTCATCGCTTTGTTTGTATTCATTTTCACGTGGAATATATGTATCATCCCACAGTTCATCTGGGTCCACTCCTGCGAGCAAATCACCATCCAATATGATTTGGTTGCATCAGTTTTTTGCAAAAAAGCCGAGTCGAAACCGCCAAAATTCGATCAAAAAAGGAATCCGATGATTTGGACCCTCCAATCGTCAACAACAACAGCGACACCTAGATGGAGGAGGTCGAGAATCCACTGAAGTACGATCGCATCTTCCAGAACATCGATTCGTCTCAGTGGAACCTGCAGACCCTTGCCTATTTATGCACAATTCACCGTGCTCGTGGTCGACGCAACAATAAAAAAGAAGTGGTCTTTGGAAATGAGCTGTTCTTGGCATGGGAGAACAAGCCCGATTTCCACTGGCCTTGGTGTGAAGGGTATTCGGAAAACTTCGTTGATCCTCCGGCGACTGAATCCTGGGAAGCGGCTGCCAAAAAACTTCTTCAGATTTGTGATGGGGATTGGAACTTGGTCGAGCAACGCATTCCAGCGGCCCTTGACCAAGACATCAAGGACGAATTTATTGGGAACGATCAGGAGCTAGTGGTATATGTAAGAGGATTAATTCTCGATCTGGCGGTCCAGGATCCTTTGGTGATTTTTCCTTTGGACGAGCAGTTGGAGGACACTACGTTTTTTAATCGGTATTGGGATTTTACTTTGGAGGTTGAGCCCCGTTTACTATTGGAATTACGCCCTCTGGCCAAAGTATGGGCCATTGCGGTTGAACTCCTAGGGCACCCGTGGACCGACCCCGAAACGACAACGGTGGTAACGGAATTATCTGAGCGTCGCTCAGCCGCCAAGGGCAGAAAGCGTGAGCGCAATCTGGACCCATCAACTGCAAGGAAACCGGCTCCTATTGACCCTCGCTCTCCTGCACGCGGGTTTTTTTCGGAGGCCAAAACCAGTTCGCGACTCTATTGCCCCTGATAAGGAGGATGCAGTGATGGTGGACACAACAGGTCCATTGGTAATTAGCCCCACCAATAAACCAGCCAACGGCGAGTTTGCTTATTGGTCTGACAACGATGGGTCGGAGTCTGGTGAGCCGGCTCCTGACTTTTCGGCACCGTCTAATTCAGACCACCCTCCTACGGAAGTGGTTGTTGGCAATTCACCTGCCCCAGCCCAGCGGGCCAACGACCCCTCGGTAACGGTGCTAGTTGACTCTCACTTGTCCGAACCGTCTCCGCCCAAACCTTCCCAACTACCAGCTCCTCCTTCCGTGAAGAAGCAACTCACCTATGTTGCTGCCTCACAGAAGAATGCAGCTATTTGTACCAAGTACCTCTCTGAAGAAATGAAGGCTCGAGAATTGACACAGATGAACTTGACCGGGCTCCCGCGCACATATGCCCAGTTCCTCTGCGCTACAATCAACTATGAATGGGATGGCGATACATCTGAGGGTGGATCTATGGAAAAATGTTTCACTGAAGAAATGGTGGCTGTTCTGTCCATGGCCATGGACAATGCCGAAGGCGACTTAGTGATTTTACCGGTGAGCGAACTTCGAGTGCAAGATAAGAAGCTGTGGCTGACTTCTAAGGAGAAAGTTGAGGAGCTCACCTACAAGAAGCTCAAGCCCTACGTTGATTGGTCCTGGAACAATGGAGCCCGATTTGGATACAACTCCAAGAATCCTGGCCCCAAGACTCTCCGCACCCGTATCCGAGTGGCCCATAACTCTTCATTGGATGACATGTCCCGACTCCTAGGTCAGTGTTTTGAGATCACTGGCACCCATGCAGGCGTGTTCCGGTCCCCGTTGCAAGTTAGTGATCCGGTCCGAATCGGCTGGCTCCTCAACTACCCTATGGGGATCGGCAGAGCGGCACTTGAACGGGAACTCATGCGGTATTTCAACTTCAAGATAGCCATTGCCTTAGAACCTGCGTGGCCACAGAATCCCGGTACCGCTGGTCAAAAATGGATGCCCTCCAAGGGGCCGAAAGCATGGCACATTTGGTAGCGGCGTCTGATGTGGATAGAGTGGCACGGGCCCTGTTTGCATGGCTCCGACCAGAAACAAAGAAATGTCACATGCCATTTGGTGCCCGGACTCAGTTTGTCTATGATTGGGGGGCAATTACAAAAGAACGACTTGGCGACCTTGCTCAACCAGGGGGACAGTGGAATAGCATCATTGGTAAACTCATCAACACCCATGACACTACCTCCCAGACGTGTACCTCCCTGGCGGCACTGTTCCCTATCCAAGGCATGTTGACAAAGGTGGTCATCCCAAAGTACTGCAAGCAGGGTAAGGGCAAGTCCCTCCTCCAATTTCTGTATGCAATTCAGTGCATCCCAGCGGTCAAGTCCCCTCCACCCGACCAGCCGGACCAACTAGCCCAACCTGGTGCAGACTCTCCTGATGCTCCCTCGCCGCCACCAGCCGTTCCTCTGGCGTCCCAAGATCCAACACCAACCCAACAGAGCGGGACTGCTCCTCCAACAACAGTTCAGCCACCGCAACCTACCCTCTCCACCAAACGTTCACGTCGCAAGGAGTCCAAGAAAAGCCAGTCCAAACAACCTACAGCGACGCCTACGCCTACTCCTCACACACACCCCAAACCGCCTTCCACTGGACCAAAAAAGTCTACCCCACAGTCAGCAACCAACCCTCCTCCCACGTCTTCAGCCGAACAAAACTTTCCGCATCTGAACAGGCCCCCACCACTGAGGCGTTCGACCAAAGTGCATGGCTTGTGGCAATGGATGCTGAACTGAACCAGGGCCCAGCCGGTCTCTTCCAAATGATCCTACCAGGTCCGATTGACGGTTTCTATGTGTTTGTGGTGCGCCAAAAGTTTGCCTCATTGGCACAGGAGGTTCTCAAGAACTTGGCTGCCTTCCTTATCTCTCACCTGGAGCTCTGGCGGGATCTGAAGCACCAGAGGAAGACATGCCGCACTTGGCTCTGCTTGGATCACTACAATCGAACGGTTACCAATGCTATGACCTGGGATCAAAGCCAACATCGGGCACTCTCTGAGTATGAGAGGGATGTAGACTTGGACCAGCAAGTGGAAAAGGACAATAATGAGTGGTTTGATAAGCTCCTTGCCGCCGAGAAGGCTTCTCCAGAATTCAAGGGCACCATCACCATTGACATTTCGATGCCAGCTGCCAAGGATATGGACAATGGTGCTACAGTAGGAAGCGCGGCCAATATGGCAGCACTATTGGAGAATATGAAAGCGGATGTCAACGACCTGCGCACGGAATTAGAGACTGCAGCGGAGGAACTGGCTCAAGCTAAGGATGCGGAGGCTGCCAACGATGCTCGAATCCTGGAATTGGAGGCCAAAATGGCAGAACAAGCATCGGTCACAGGAAGCACCGCTCGTCCAGCCCCTCCTCCAGCAAAGCAACATCATCGGCTGACAGTGGGGTGCCCCCCGGCGGTGGTCCCTAGTAACCACCAACGGTCCCGTCACGCAAGGTTGCGGCGTTTGACGGAAGGCCGAGGTCAAAATCTACGCAACCAAAACACACCCAGCCAGGTGGCCCACTCCTCGCTGGATGCTTATTTAAACTCTCTCCCTCCTGATAACTACTTCGGCGATGACTCACGCCAGAAGTCTCCTTGTGTTACCCTGGTCCTTTTTCAAAATGTTCAGGGTCTTCCATTTCCCATGACACATGAGAAACAAAAAGGGGTCTTCAAGTGTTGGACGGATGAGAGAGTGGGCATTGCATTGCTGGCTGAAGTTAACCTTCAATGGTCAGCAGTGCCAAGAGGACAAAAGTGGTTTGATTGGGTCAAGTCCTACACCAATCAGGGACATTTCTCTTCAGTGTCGTAGCACGAACATCAGGAGTTTCCAACTCCCTCGGTGCATCAATGGGGCGGATGTTCCGCTACATTACTCAACAAGGTCGCGCGTCGGGCAAAGTCAGGCGGCAAAGATGAGTCAGGGCTAGGTAGGTTCTCATGGATCAAGATCCGGGGCAGGGACATCCAACAACAGGAGTCTCCTACTGATGGGCCCCCGGCTGGTGTCTCTGCATATCGTCCAAACCCGGAAGGTACCAATGCGGGTAGTGTTTGGAACTACCAACGGAATTACTGGTTGAGCAAGGGGGTGACTATGGATCCCCGTGACAAACTCACCCTGGATTTGGTGGACCTGATCCAAAAGTGGAAAGCGGAAGGATGTGAGATTCTCCTGGGGTTAGATGCAAATGAAGATGTCTCCTACAACTCTCCCTCTTCCTTCCGCCAAGAGATGAGGATTGAAGGTCTGACAGAGGCTATCTTACGCCGACATCAGGGCCCTTACCCGGCGACAACCCAAAGTCGGCTGACGGATACCCCCATTGACGGTATTTTCGTGACTGACGGTGTCCATGTCACTGCAGGAGGATACTTGGACTTTCGTTTGTGCCAAAAGAGATGGATATCAAGCTTCAAGGTGAAGCCGATTTCACATCTACTCTTGAAGATCCAATCAAACTCTTGAAACGTATTGAACGATTCGTGAAGAAGAGTGCCGATGCTGAGTATTGTTAGATTAAAGCAAAATGTGCTCTATAGTGAGTGCTTTTAGCGCTCAGAACAAACTATCTGCAATCTAAATTTGTAATCGACTGTACAACACTTTCACGACAATAGTTCTCCTGTGTTAAGTATACTTTGAGTGAAATTGTTCCTATTTGATTAATGTTTGGCTTGAATTGATGATTCAATCACAAAAGTGAGTTCAACGATTTTCCCTTGGAAAATCCCTTGTTTACAGAACTCAATTAGACTTCTACGAGGATTCTGTGTTGAATACAGTACTTTGGGACATCTGGTATTATTCCCTACTGTATCGTACACAACATTGATATCCCACTTGTATAGGGTCATTCCCTTTTCATGTGGATATAGATTGTCCGGCAGACTTACGTCGAATCCTGACATCACGATCAAAATCCGATCGTGCGTGTCAAAACTTTGTACTTGAATAGTTTTCTTGGAATGTAAAACTTCATTTTGTCATATCCCAACAAATTCAAGCCAAACATTAATCAAATAGGAGCAATTTCACTCAAAGTATACCTAATACAGGAGAACTATTATTGTGGAAGTGTTGTACAGTCGATTACAAATTTAGATTGCAGAGAGTTTGTTCTGAGCGCTAAAGGCACTCATGATAGAGCACAGTCAGCTTATTTCTAACAATGACGGTGACAGAGATTCTTCAGACGGAGATATTGGTGATGACTGCAACAGATGGGATTCAGAAAGGAAATTTTCCTCTATTTCTTTGTAAAAAATGCTAGTAGTTTCCTCCATTGTCCCATTCTTGCCACCATTGAAGTGGTATACGGTAGTGCAACATCTGTTGGAACAAACATATCACGCATCAACCAACAAAAAAGAAAAATTTTCTTCACAAATTTACGTCTATAAAAAAGAAACAACCTCCCTCAAGCATTCCTTATCTGTATACTAAATGTCCATCTTGGTGCAAACAAAATTATACCACAGTTTGTGGAAGGACTTCCTGATGTCAACAGTAGCTAAGGTCTTTGTCATCACTGGAACTGCATCTGGAACTGGTAATGTTGCTGCAAGAATAGTGGCCAAGCTTGGCGGTGTAGCTGTTTTGCTCAATGGAAAGTCTGAGCGCTCCAACAAGTCTTTGGCGGCCATGAAAGAGGATAATCCTGAAGGCAAGTTGTGCCCATCAAGTGCAACTTGCAAAGCTTCCAGTCTGTCAAGAAAGCCATCGCTGAGATCAAGAGCAAGTACTCTAGCATTTATTGCCTCGCACAATGCTGGTATCATGGCCACTCCTGATAAGGCCACTGTCAACGGCTACAACACCCAAATGCAAACCGATCACCTCTCTCATTTCCTACTCGTTGAGGAACTCATGCCTGTACTAGGGGCCGGAGCTGCTGCTAATGTCGCCGCCCGGATTGCGGCCATATAGTTTCGGACGTCATCACTGTCATACCCCAAACAAGGGACTTGCAGAAGAGTATTTTGGCAAGAACAGTGGAAGCTTGAGAGTTAATGAGGTCTATCATCAATACTTCCAGACCAGCTCGCCAATTTGGTTCACATCTACAGTCTTCACAACAAATTGAAGGAATCTGGATCCAAGATCTGCGCCATCCGTGCCCACCTTGGTGGTTCTGATACAGGACTGGGCACACACCTGAATTATGGATTCTTTTGGAATAATCTTCTCAAACTCATTGGTTGATTGACGATGCAGACCTCTCAAGATGGTGCCATTGCATTCAGATGGATCCTGACCATAATGAGAGTGGTCCTCGGGGCAGGCCTTGCCCATAACGCATTGTCTTGGCTCCAAGAGAAACCAAATAGCTATTAATATAGTAACAAGGATGTTCTTGCCTCTAACAAATGTTGCCTTTGTCCGGTTGATAGATTGGCCCAATGGGTCGCACAACGTAAATATTTTAAAGACTCATACAAAGTTATTTTATACAATACAGACCACCAAAAACAACTTCCAATACTGTCTTATTTTGTGCGACCAACTTCATTCATGTGTTGACATGTGAGGATGCTCATGGCATGTATCACAGTCACAAATAAACCAGCATTGCTGTCAAAGCGAGTATAATAAGGTGCAAAAACTCTTTGCAAACATGTAGGCAGCCGAAGCCTTGGGAGCTGCAGTTTCCTTTGGCTAACAAGCCAGTTGTTGGAGTATACAGTGTTGTCAGCTCAGCAGTTGGAATAACTGCTGGCCGTGGATACATGCCAATAGCAGGGTCTTGGGAACTTTACTTTCTGATCGTTTTCATGGCTGATTTTGAGGACACCAGCCCCATGGTTACCATTGCAAATGGCGAATCTTCGATAGGCTGGACAGCTTGCATCATGTAATTCATAACCCTGGTATGTTCTACAATGGCGCTTGCCAGCTCTATACCAGTTGGAATATCTGCATTCACTATACTGGTGCTTCGATCTGCCACGATAGATTGCCTTTCATTGTTCTTTTTGGACACAAATATAGCTTCGATATTCCATTCGACGTACACATTGTACCGCTTGTCGGGCTTGTCGGATCCGAACTCTTTGTGATAAAGTGAAGCGTCCATAGAATCAAATTTGGCTCCAAAAATTGTCTTCAGCCTACATCATCGTCCGCAAAAAAGAACGAAGTGTTAGTTTTACAGAGAAGGCTTCCATGGAAACATATCACTTCTTCGGCGATCGAAGAAAACTTTACTCACTGTTTTGTAAAGAATTTCACAGTATTCTTGCGCAACTTTTCGTAGGCAGCATCAGATGGATCCTCGTTAACCGACATGAGATTCAACGCAATACAAACCTCTGTACAGCTAACTCGTATCTGGCCATCCTCCAACTCTTTGGGTTCGGCCAACTCCACCATGGGCACCTCCGGTTCTTTGGATTTTCTTTTTTTCTTTTTCTTCTCTTTCTTGGGTGCGGGTTCCGGCGTCAACTCGGCTTTCTTTTTTGGTTCTGTCTCTTTCGCTTGCATTGGTTCCCTGTTGGGCTCTGCCTCTTGCTTTTCTATCTTAGGTTCAGGTTCAGGTTCAGGCTCAGGTTCAGGCTCAGGTTCTGGCTCAGGTTCTGGTTCAGGTTCGGGCTCAGGTTCTGGCTCAGGTTCTAGATCTGGTTCAGGCTCTGGCTTCGACTTGGCTCTCTTTTTCGGTTCTGCCTGTTGTGATTGCATTGGTGCCGTCTTGGCCCCTTTTTCTTGCACATGCGTTGGCTCCATCTCTGGTTCTGGCTCTGGTGGTGCTGGCAGCAATTCAATTGCAGCTTCGAATTTGCCATCTTCAATCGTCATGGTCTCTCTTTTCTTTGCCTTCGCCGTCTTTCGCATAGAGACTTCGGAAGTTCTGGCAAAACACACAGGTTCCAATTGCTTAATATGTGTTAGAAGGGAGCCAATGTCCACTTTGATCACCAATTTTCGCAAGGTCTTTTCATCCGGTGCATCTTTCTTCTTGAAAGTAATATCAGCTAAATACTCAACACACATGTTGTATCGGGGCTCTGGAATGCCAGCATTGAACTTGGTTTCCTTTTCGGTGAGTTGCATACCCAGAAGGTTTTCTGGATAGTCTCGTCTCAGAATGGTATAAAAGTACCGTAGCACCAGATCCTTGAATTGTTCCAGCTCCTTGTCATTAGGTAATTCGGCGGGTGGTTCTGCATACACGGATAATGCAAGAAACACGGGAACTTGGCGATGGACAATTTCTTCTGTTGGTGCTTTGTCGGCTTGTTCTTCTTTTTTTGGTTTGGGCTTTGGCTCACCAGCTGGTTCGCCGTCTTGTGGCTCTCCTTCTTCACCAGGCTCTTGTTCGTCCTCTTCCTCTTCCTCTTCCGGCTTTTTCTTCTCTTTCGGCGGTGGCGGCGGTACCGATTCCAGTTCCTGAGTTTCAGGATTTTCCATGCCACAAACTTGAACAGAAACCGTTGTGACCGCCACGTAGGGAGATCCATCGATTTCTCTTAACCCATACACATATTGTATACATTCATCCCCTGCACATGCTTTCATGATTATGGCAAAGAGTTCATCACTGCTTGGTGGATCACTGGAAAAAGTTGCAGTCGCAGCCTCGTAGTAGTAGAAGCGAAATGGATCATTGGGCGCTTTGGCACCATTATCGGCCTTTATCAGCTCTAGTTCCAAGTTGAGAAAGGTGTCTGGGTACTCGCGTTCCAATAAATCGACAATTCGTTCCTTTGTCTTCCTCTGAAATTTCTTGATCTCCTTGTCGGTTGGTGGTCTGGCTTCATCATCACACGAGGGTTCATCAGTCCCAATGGCCACAAAGAATGGCGGTGCCTTGACAACAAAGACTTCATTGCTACCATCGTCATTCATCCGTCTCGCGACTACCTCAATAGCTGTGCTGTAGGGGGAGTCGTTGGAGAGTTTCTTGACGAATTCGCACAAGTAGTCCATGCTGTCACCAGCTACCATCGTTTGAAATATTTTGTTTCCGTTTGGTGCCCTCGTCGAACCAAAGACTCCTTTGCCACTGAGTTGGACCAGCATGTTGAAATTGTCGGCCAGATTCTCAATGCCTTGGACCGGTCCATATTTGGCTGAGTTGACAGTAAGGCGAAGCTTCTCAAAGCTGTGCTTCTTGTTTCCATAAGCGTGTTTCAGCAATTTCGACCAAAAACTTTGCGTTTTCTTTCGAAAGTCATTAGTCTCCTCTTCATTTGGCTCGCGAGAAGTGTTACCTGGTGGCAACACGAGTGCAATGAAAAAGTCTGGAATTGCAACCTCGGTCATTTCAAGTTGTGTGAGGGTGTTGTCGTTTGTTGAGCTTATTTTCCAGTTTGGATTTTTGTGAGGATCCTTGGGTTTTCTGCGCGGTATGGAATGGCTGATGACCGTTTTTGGTCTTTGGTTGCGCCGACGAATATAATAATCGACGACGCGCGTTATACTAAAGGCAGAGAGAACCACCTTTCAGTCGGGGATTGCCAGAACCTGGTACTATCATAGTATTTTGGAAAGGCGATTTGCACGGAGAACATTTCGATACATTATCCAAACACCGGCCATTGCAGAATGGCTTTGCTGATTTTGGACATGATGAGAATCCTTTTTTGAAGGCAGTGATCTTCGTTGTCATGACTGACTCCGAAATAGAATCATTTAGGACTACCAGCCGTAGCCACTTATTTCAACTAGTGTGCAGCAGCGTAGACGAAGATTTTTTAAAAATGGCGTCACCATTCGACTGCTTTGACTAATATCTGAATAATGTTATCGGTATCATACTTGTTTGTAGGAATTGGAATGCCCCTTGGAATCAGCAACAATTTTTAAGTGAGATGAACAACATCTACTGCATTACCCTATTCGCGATGCAAAGGCGAATATTCTTCATTCCCTGCGCTATCTTCAGTGGCAAGATCTGTGTCGCCTGTCACCCCATCGTTACTACTTCCCTCCACATGTCCACTTTCATGCAGTAGATACGTTATCAGCCCACATAGGGTACCGACGTGGGTTTTACCTGTTCCTACAATAATCAATCCCGTCATTAAGGTCACTGTCAAGTCTGGTTGCTTTCCAGGAGCAAAAGCTGTCCAAGACGTTCCTTCTTTGGGGTGTGCCACACTCGACACTCCTGTCAGGGCCAATTCATGACCCGCAATGACTAATAGAAGGCCCAAGATAGAGCTGGGCAAGGCATCGAAAAGAGTCAAAAGGTATCCATAGTGGGCCAAGATAGATAACGTGATTTTGAAGACTCCCAAAACGACCATGGAAAGGCCGGATTTCGCCCCAAGCTTGTTTTGTCCAGCCAGTCCTCCCGCACCATGACAATGTGGCATGGATCCCATTGGACAAAAAAATATGTTCATGAGTCCGATGGACCAGCTTACCGCACGGCGTTCCACTACAGGCTTGTCTGGAAATAGGTTTTTTGCCAAGAGACAAACACTGAGGCAAGAATTTAATGTAGTAAGAGGTAATTGGGGTAGTGTTCCTTCGAGAATACCTGTCTTCCAATCCCCCCATGTAGCCCCTTTGAGAGCATTGACAACAAACGCTTCGGATGTAAACTGTATTGTGTCCTTCTGGTCGAGGTCGCTGGACGAGTTGTTCGTATTGGCGTGTCTCGTATTCGTCAAGTTCATAACGGCAAGTATAATTCCTAGCAAAAACAAAGACAACCCCACTGGAAACTTTTGACGGAACTTTTGCCAGCATCCCACTGGTGTTCCAGAATGATGGTCACCACTGCTCGATAGTTGTGCCTTGAGAAAGTACAAGCAAGAAAGGCCCGAGAAAATGCTCCATAATTTACAATCATATGGGTTTTCGATCCAAGGAAGCTCTTGAATCATATGAATTCCTTTGACAGCAAGCTTCCATCCCACTCCAAGTTGCAAGCCTCCAATTACTGAAGGAGGTATCCATCGATGCAAGGTATCAATCGCACCTGCAAATATACTAAAGAGTAGAAAGCAAATCCCAATTCCCACTCCGGCGATGCTGACTTCGAGCCTAGTCAAATCCGATGCAATAGCCAAGGAAGCAATTGCCTTCATTGGTTGCAATGGCATGGGAATGTCCCATACCAAGCCACCGGATATTATGTGCACGATTCCGGTTCCCAACAAGGTCGGTGCCAAGTAAATGGCGCGTTGCCGACTGAGTGCCACCAAAAGTGGTATGAGAGTACCAAAATCGCCACAACTACCACTGAGTTCGAGAAGATTGCAATTTTGACGCCACCAGGAAGCATCAGAAGCTGGTGATGACGGTGACAGAGATTCTTCAGACGGAGAAATTGGTGATGACTGCAACAGATGGGATTCAGAAAGGATATTTTCCTCTATTTCTTCGTAAAAAATGCTACTAGTTTCCTCCATTGTCCCTTTCTTGCCACCATTGAAGTGGTGTAATGCAACATCTGATACCGGTACGATAGCTCTCAAAACGGGGGAGGCGTGGGGTTTGTATCCTCCCTTTTATCACTGCAAATCCCCGATTTGCTTCTGTACTGAATCTTACGTACCGTACTGGTACCAGGCGACACAAATATAGTACGCATTCAGCCTTGTTGGCATCGGCAAGATCCAGACAACTCGAACTGAAGAGGCCAAGACGAGACCGGATTCATTCTCCCCTCGTCCTATCTATAGATTTTGCTCTGTCAGTCGGCGTTAAGCAACACTGGATTCAAACCCGCAGTTCATCGGACCGAGAAGTTGATTATTTGATTCATCTGTTGGTTCATTCTATCAATAACCTCAGACACAAAACGGCAAAACCAAAAAGCCAATCATGATATCACTTCGTCATGTTGCTCAACGAAGTAGTCGTCGACTATCCTCTTCTACTGGGATCACAAAACGAGCCTTGGCGACATCAAGACAAAAGAGGGCCCTGAATGAACAACAATTGGGCGAGTCCAAAACTGCTTCATCTGGAGGAACTCCACCTCCTCCACCACCGGGGGCATCCTCAAGCAGCAGCGGGTCCAGTGGCAGCAGCATGCCGTTGGTTGCTGCCGTAGTCGTTGCTGGAGGTGCTTTCGGTGCATATTACATGGATATGATTCCTGGACTTTCTCCTACAGATCCGTCGTATGTTAGTAAGAAAGAGGCCCCCTCCAATAAGCCAAAACCAGCTGCCAAGGAGGCTATGCCAGTGCAGACGGAGGAAAAGAAGGATGCTGTCAAGGAAGCCGAATCTGAAGGCACTCCCGTAGTTTCAGAAGTTTCAGAACCAGTTGGAAATCGTGTCATGGACATCACCTTGCCAGAAGGTACTTCGCGCTCTGCCCCTCCCGCACCTGTCATGGATCACCCCACAGGAGGCAACCGCGTCAGTATGAAGCCCGCCGCACCAGAGGATGAAAGCAAGGCACACAGCGTTCCTTCCTCGGTCGACAAAGCCTTGAAAGAGTTGCAACAACAAATCTCCAAGGATGACACTGCTCGATCGCTTCTCGAGGCACACAAGGATTTGGCCTTGTTGGCCTCGATGGATTTGAGTGATCTCGATGAGTTGTCCATGACCCAACTCAAGGTGCGGTTAGTGCAATTGTCCAAGGATATGGAGGAACGAACCAAATGGGAGGCAGTACGACTCAAGGAGTTCCTTGCCATGAAGGAGAAGGAAGTGGAAGACAAGTAAGTGGCGTTCACCCAAACTGAAGAAATCGATGGATAGTTTAGTGATTTCTCGATCCTGTAACTCGAATTTATCATTCTCACTCCGTCATTTCCTTGTGCAGGTACACCTTGATTTTGAAGAGGCAACGGCTCGAAGCAGAGAGCCTCATGGACGAGCGAATGAATGAGCAAAAGGGTGCTCTAACAAAACAAGCTGCTGAAACCTTGAAGGAAAAGGAAGAAGCTTTGCAATCCATCATTGACAACTCACTCAAAATACAAGAACAACATTATTTAGATGAAAAGGCAAACTTTGAAAAGCTAACAGAGGAAAAGTACAACGCCAAGTACGAAGAACTCTACGGTACCTCCCTTGCGAAGGTCAAGGAAGAATACACAATCAAAATGGAGCAAAAAGTACAAAAGCTTGAAGCATTGGCCAAAAAGGTTTCCGATCTCGAATTCGCTCTACAGTCATCCACGGCGTACAAATCTGGATCAGTCCAAGCCCATCGTATGAGTGCAGCCGCATTGGCCTTGATTGATAAGTTGGAATCCTCAGAACCGGCAGGCGCAGCTGTAGCAGCACTGCATTCTGTTGCCGAGAGCAATCCAGTTGTGAATGCTGCTATTGGTGCTCTTCCCAATACCGTTGCTTCTTCTGGGGTTTCAACTTTGCAAGAATTGCAGACTACTTTTGAAGAAATTGTTCATCCCAAGTGTCGCCAAGCTGCCATGATCCCCGAAGGACAAACTGGTCTCGAAGGGCAGTTGATGGGAATGATCTTCTCGAGCCTTCGCTTCGCGCCTGGTCCCGACGATGCTGCTCCTGAACCGCAAAAGGATGATGCCGAATATGTCTTGGCACGTGCTCGTCGACATGTCCAACTGGGAGAGCTGGAGCAAGCGGTTGAAGAAATGGCGAAGCTCAAGGGCCAAGCATCCTTCACGGCTAGTGACTGGACAAGTCAAGCGAAGGCGCGAGTGGCTGTCGAAAAGGCGCTCAAGGTGATTCGATTGGAATGCGCCTTGGCTAACGAAGCCTTGGCAAAGGATAATTGACATCAATGTAAGAAAAGATAATCATCCCACATTACTAACATACATTATTATTAGATAGACTACGAGGATTTCGAAATGAAAAACGTCAGCGATCGTTTTTTCGAAATGAAAAACGTCAACGATCGTTTTTTTCTTCTTCCCATCTCTCTCGCGCTTCACACAAAACAAGCGAAAGCATCACTGGTGATTGAAAGTGGACGATGAACAACCCCGCTTACCAAATAAGATGATCTTCACGAAACATCAAACGATACTTGTGCTGCGTCTCTTCATCACATTGTATGCTCCCAGAGTCCATGGCTTCCATCACAGTAGGTGCAATCAATTCCAGGCTCAATTTCAGTTTCCAGACTGTTATGTTCCAGATATGGATGCATACAACCTGCAACTATCCGACGCTAGCTTCTTGATGGCTCATGACGCTGGTACAGGATATCTGTCGGTTAAGAAAGGAATCTCTAGTGCCACCAACCTCTACGCGAAGAACCAACGCGGCACTGTCTATGAACAGCTTCAGAATGGAGCAAGAGCATTGGACGTTCGTCCCAAGCTTTTGCAAAACGGGACTGTCGCACTCCATCACGGGACAATAGCGATTGGAACGACTTTAGAAACCCTCGTCCAAGACGCCATACGGTGGTGCAATGAGAACCCATCGGAATTGGTTCTCATCTTGCACAACAACATGGGATATGATTCCAACTTGTCGCCCGATGCTGACACAGCCGTTAACGCACTGTCAGATGTGTATGGGCCACTTGGAGTATCTTATGTAGCCTGTGGCGATGTCTATGGATTGACTGTAGCAGAAACAATGGAAATTAGTGTACTTGCGAGTGGTGGGTATCTGTTGGCACTGGATCAGCAAGATGCCTACACTTCTTTCTGTGGCAAGAGCAACTACATTTCCGATCAACTTGTCACGTGCTACCCTAACAATGGAACCTTGCCCTGTACGAATGCAAAATCACCAACGCACGAGAGGCTAAAGGAGTATGCGTTGGCGTGTTCCAACAATGCTGCCACGGACTCGACATATGTACTTGGCCCTCCACAATCGTTGGACATCTGGCCGTTCAATATAATACAAGGGATTTGGCAAGTGGATACGAGATCAGCAGCAACGGGAGTGGCTCATGTTTCTTCACTAATTGACGACAACACAAAATCAAGAATCAATGCCCAGCTGGTCGATTGGATATATGACGGAGAATTCAATGCAGTTTCGCTTCTGGCGGTTGATAATGTGGCCCTGAATGGCAATGCCATACTTTCTGTCCTTCGAAGCAAGTGTGGACAGTCGGAGCTTGGGGAGGAGGAATGTGGCACGGCAATTCGCAAGCCAAGACTGCAGCGAAAACCCTTGTCCACGCTCTCGTTTGCAGTAACTTTGTCTTTCTACATTTTTTTCGCAATTTGGGTCGGTGTCATGCTGAGGCACTACAGAAAGTTCTATCGACCAGAAGAGCAAGCCAAACGGCTGGAGAAGGATCTCAAAGGGGTTGAGCATCACTTCAAGAGGGTAATGGCTGGAGAGTATGCTTAGTTGGCAAATAGTGCGCGGTGGTGATTCTAGTAGTTACATATGTACAAAAAGGAGTATCCAAGCACAATTGATTTGGAGGCCTGGGCATCACTGGGGTCCTGTTTTATTTCATGATTGTTGGCCGAAGTTCCCAAACAAACCCAATATTTGCTAAACGTGTTGCCCGTTCTAGAGTCATATTACTCTTTTTCCCTGCAACCAACAATTTATACTGCCTTCGAGCACACTTGACCCATGTTGCCAACTTTTGATTTTCTTTGTATAGACTTGGCACATTGCAGTGTCCTTTTTCGGCCTTGAACTTCAGAAGTTCGTGGAATCTTTCTTCCCAGCCTGCTTCGTGTGCATTCCAGACAAAGCCCAGTGCATTCAATGCAAGGACACGATCGTCTGTCATGGTCGATGGTTTCGACTCAATTTTCAGTTTGTATTGATATCGTTCTGAAGGATTGCAGATGATTCGAGTGTTAGTGATACTGTCTCTGCATGCATTTGCATCGAACTTGTTCATGGTGACAATGCTTCAGTGACTTACGTCGTTTTGTCCAATGGGCAAGCGGTGGATTCTCTTGGAATGAGTTTGGCACCAAGGAGTGCCCATTCTTCTTTACAAATAGACACAACTCTTCAAAGCGTTCGGTCCATTGGTCTTTCTGATAGTTTCGAAATCGTGCTTGCTGACCATCCTTGAAGTCAAGATCCGAAGGATGCGGCACAGCCTTTGTTTTCTTGACAGGTGGGCCTTCCGTTACGTCCACTATTTTCTGTGAGGCAGCAGCAAACTCTCGCTTCCTGGCGTATTGATTAGTCGCCATTGCGTTGCTCAGAAGCGGAGCCGAAAATGGGGGAGCAAAGAAGAGCGGATCAACCAACTTGAGCTCCTCTATTTGAGCCAAGTCGTCAGGAAGCTGCAGTCGAAAAAGAGAGTCGATCTCCACAGTTGAATTATTCGTCTTGAATTCTGCATTCATGTTTGCAACTGACATCTCTGAAATTGATAGATGAGAATTGTGGGCAAAATAAGGCAACAAT